GTAACAAAAGCCCTGTTTTGGACTAGCAAGTGTCATGGAGGTTAAGGTGAGTGGATTCCACATAGTTAGCTTGGCTTGAATCTTTGACCTGGCGTCTTAAAAATCACACTGGGCACATGTGCATGTGTGCTCAAAGTCCTGAGAGGAGACTGGAGAAGGGATTGTGGTATGACCATCCCCTGTTGGGAGGATTTCTCACTTTTCCTCTCTCTCTCTCTCTCTCTCTCCCTCCCTTTTTGGTGAACCCTGTAGCAAAAAACGAAAACAAACAAACAGAAATCTCTGTTTCAGGAGGAGGGCAAGGAACTCTAGAATTTAGGTCACTGGTTAAACCCATTACAGCTGGAAGAAGGGAACAGGCATCAAAACGAAACAAAGTAAATCATAAGCACACAAATCCCAACTCTCTAAGCCTGGAGGAGAGAGAGGATAAATTGAGTTGGAGCAGAAGCACTGACATGGCAAGATCTCCAAGATTCACAACATAGGGCCTGCCTAAACCCAAGGCTTATTCAGAGTGAGAAGAGTTCCTCCTCCACTTCCAACCAGGCTGATGAGCGTTGAGTCATGAGCACAGTGAAATCCTGCAGGGAGAGAGAGCAACACGGAGAGAAACCCTCTGTGTAGCACAGTGCAAATGGAAGACTTCAAACTGAGGATAAAATAGAAATTCAAAGAAAAATAATAAACTCTCTGGCAAACTAGCCATCACCCAAAGGCCAGCAGAACTTGAGGGAGTTGTTGCTTGTGGTGCATTGAGGGGAACCACAGCAGAAACAAATTCCAAACCTGCTCAACTCTTACCCTAAACTGACTCAAACCTCATACTAAAGACAGAGCAGAAGAAAGCCAAGCCCTTTCCAAACATCAAAAACTGTCTACCCAGTCTCTGCTGTCCTACACACAATGTGTGACTTTCAAAAACTATTTACAAGACATGCTAAATATTAAAACAAAACAAATGAAAACCCACATACGACTACCATGAGATAACACAACTTACAGAATTAGACTCAGATATAACACAGATGTTGAAATGGATCACTGAAAATTAATGTAAATGTGATTAATAGAAAAGAAGGAAAGATTCAAGATTAGATGAACAATTTCAGCACACAAGAACTAAAAGAATCACATGAGAATACTAAAAAAAAAAATGTAATTAAAGAGAGGAAGAACGTCTTTGACACTATAGTAATTTTCTAGAATTAACATAACAAAATTCGAGAAAGTGGTTGGCTTAACAGGAATGTATTCTTTTACCATTCTAAGAGTCAAAAATCTAAAACCAAGGTGTCAGCAGAGTTGGCTCTTGCTTGGAAATTCAAAGGGAGAATATGTCTCATGACTTTCTCTTGGATTTTGGTGGCTGCCATTATCCTCGGTGTTCTTTGACTTATAAATACATCACACCAGTCTCTGCCACCATCTTCATATGGCATTCTGTGTGCAGGTAGCATGGTTACCTGCACTCCTTAGTGTTCCTTGATATGTAGAAGTATAACTCTAATCTCTGCCTCTGTTGTCACACAGCAATCTTGTGTGTCTTTTGTGTCTTCACTTGGTGCTCTCTGTATGTGTGTCTATTTCTTCATCTCTTCTTGTAAGTACACCCAGACAATCAGATTAAAGGTACAGTTTATTTCCATAGGGCTTTATCTTAACTAATTCCATCTGCAACAACACTATTCTCAAATAATGGTACATTCTGAGGTTATGGGAAGGACCTAGATTTGTGTGTGTGTGAAGTATTCTCTTCCATTTATTATAGACAGGTTTACCAATAGACCTATGTACTGAAGAAAAGAATTAGTCAAAATAGGTTAACAGAAGCGGGACCAGCAGTTAGCATAATGGCTATGCCACTGGACTCCCATGTAGTCAACCACAGTTTGAGTCCGGGGCCTGGTGGCTTAAACTCATGCCAGGCGCATGTGCGTGCGTGCCCAAGATCCTGAGAGGAGAATGGAGAAGGGATTGCGGTGTGGCCATCCCCCCTTGGGGGTTATTTCTCGCTTCTGTCTCCCTGTCTCTCTCTGTCTTTCTGGCGAACACATGTGCCCTATAGCAAAAACTTCTCCAAAAAAAAAAAAAAAAATAATATTTATTCCACAACTGAAACATGTAAACATGAAGAAAAAAAATGAATTGAATAAGAGTAGATAAACATATATGGGGTCATCAGAAAAGTCATGACACATTTTTGCATAGAAAAACGTGAAAAAATATGCCATGACTTTTTCGATGACCCAATAGATAAAAGAAAACAGAATAGATAATGGAAGAGCTGTGTGACAATATCAAATGATAAAAATACACATAACTGAAATCTCATATGGACGTCAGAGAAATGGTACATAAAATATATGTGAAGATATAATGGCAATTGAAAAGCATTTTTGAAAATAACTTCTGAAAATAATTCTACAGATGGAAAAGCTAAGATTTAAGAGTGTTAATTCACATTGAAAATCACATTTTTAGCTTCATCAGGAATGACCATAAAAGATTATAGAGTATGTATTTGATTGTTGTATGTACTTTCAGTGGAATGTTGTGTGTTTTTATATAGGGGATTGGAGCCTTTCATTAAGCCATTTTGGAACTATAAGTGTAGAAAACTGAGAGGAACACAAATGATATTTGTGTTTAGATGTGGATAAATTTTGTCCAATTAATTTATATCTGATTTTGACCTTCTAAAATAGATGATTTAAATACTACATCTTATTACAGGTGGATATTAACCCATTTTGCATCTATTATCAAATTTATTTTAGCATTCATGATTGCTTGTATGTGTATCTGTGTTTATATTTTCTTTGAACTAGCTTTAACATCTATGTGTTTCCTTATTAATTGATGAGGTAAAGAAATTGACAAACAAGCTTATTGTATGTCTTCATAAAAGTTATAATTTTGTCCTTTCGAAATTATAATAAACTTGAAATTGAGTCTTCTTTTTCAAATCTCAGGGTTTATAAACTATGGAAATTAAAAGAAACTAAATAAATATTTTCTCTGTCAATTACAAATTCACAAAAAACCACCCCAAATGCATTGACCAGATCTACTGCAGTAAGGAAAAATCACATTTTGACAATAAAACACATTGGTACTCACATGTAGACCGGAAAGATGTAACATGTTCTTCAGTCATAGATGACCTGATTATGTAAATGGAAAATACATAATAATCTAGAGATAAATAATTTGCCCTAATGAGCATTTTAGCAAGGACTTTGAGTACAAAAGAAAAAAAAATAGAGTAGAAAAGATGCCATTTATCATTGAATCAAAACATAAAATACCTTGGAATGAATCTAATAATATATCTACAAAATGGCTATACAGAAACTATAAAGCATTACTGAGAGAAATAAAGGAGACCTAAATAAATGTGCTTAGAATATTTAATCCTTTACAGATTATAATTTATTCCAGACAGATTAATAGATTGAATATAATCACTGCAAGTGCGTTCTGGAAACTGGCAAGTTGATTGCAAAATTTATTTGGAAATACAAGAGGCCAGAAAGAGCTAAGAACATTTCAAAAAAGAACCAGGCTGGAGGATACCTGGATCCAGATACTAAGACTTAACAATGCTGCAGTATTTATAAAAGCGTAGTATTGGCATGTGGAGCAGAATAGAATGCCTATAAGAACACTCCTGTCTTGTTATTAGATTTATTACAAAGGTGAGACTTCAATTGAATGCAGAAAAGTTGCCTTTTCAATAACGGATAAGTTGAATTGCTATTTCTGAGCAGCATATAAACATATCTTTCCTCTGTAATCAGTTCCTACAAAGATCAGACCCAAATTCGTTAACTAAACTTATTAGACCTATGTTTGACAAAAGTTAGAGAAAAGTATTTTTGACTTTGAATTTGGGCCTAAATGGTTACTAGATTTTTTTAAAGATTGGGAACCAGTAGAGGTTTTAAGGGAATATATTGTTACATAGTAGTTTAGGATTGGTGGACACAGAGAGATACTTGATGTGAATCTAGACAACTAAACATTTTTTGATATATGAGATATTGCTCAAGTAAGAAATCTATTTTACTGATAGTAGATATACATTTTTAGATAAGTAAAATATCTGCCAGAAGGGACTGGTTTGCAGGAATTTCCTGTAGCAAAGAGTTAAGTCACAGGTAACCACTTTTCTCTGTCCATCTAATTAACTGCAGTTGCCTCTACTTCTGCTTCCTGTCTCATACCATATACAAAATTTAATTCTACAACTGTAAGGAGTAATTGTTACATGCTGGACTCCCACATAGTTAACAACAGTTTGAGTCCTGGACCTGGTGGCTTAAAATTCACGCTGGACCCAGGTATGTGCGTGCCCAAGATTCCAAGAAGAGAATGGAGGAGAAGGGATTATGATGGGGCCATCGTCCCCCCTGGGGGATGATTTCTCACTTTCTGTCTCTCTATCTCTATAGCAAGTGCACATGCCCTAGAGTAAAAAATATCTTTCTAAAATAAATAAATAAATAAAATGCTATTTATAAAATGAAGACAAAGTGGACCAATTGAACTGTATTATATTAAAACTTTGTTCATTCAAAATAAGCCATGAAAGAAGTGAAAGCCCAAAAGATCAATAGAAAAATGGGCAAAAATTTTGAATAAAAACTTGACAAAGAGGATATCTAAGTGCTTCCTAAATTTAGAAAGTCATACATTGTAATTGAGCAATTCCATCTCTCTAGATACATAACTAAAATGTGTACGTATGCATGTTAACCCAAAGATACGTACAATAATTTTTACAAATAGAAGAGTTTATAAATAGAAGTGCAGCATATTTATACAATGGAGAATGTATGTGAACAAAATATTGTGTAACACAAGAACAGGAATGAGGCTTACAAACATAACAGTAAGCAAAAAGAAACCTGACACAAAAAAGAATAGACTATGCAATTCTAAGTACAGTTCAAATACAGTTAATCTATGTTGTGATAGATCAGAATGATGTTTACCTCTTGTAGTAACTGGGAGACGGTGCCAGAACTTCTGTGATCTTAGAAACTTTCTGCTTTGTGATCTGTGGGCTGATGATACTTCTAGTGTATGCTCATTGTGTACAAATTTAATGAGCTGTACTTTTTTTTTGCTTTCAACTGGGTGCAAAAGAAGGCTATCAGGAATGGCAGGAGAAAGGAATGACTATTTTTAGAAGGAAAAGAAAAAAGGAGAAAGAAACGATTAGGGAATGTTGCTTTCTAGGGAATTCACAACTAATCTAATGACAGGAAATCATAACGACATGAAAAGCAGGTTGGAAAAAGAACAGAAACCAATTCCTTGTCAGGAACCAAAGCAAATGGAGGAATCAGAAGGCTGATCTGGACTGAATGCAGCTTGTTCACCTCTTTCTATTCTTAAAATTCTCCACTGGAATTGTGTGTGTGTGTGTGTGTGTGTGTGTGTAAGTTTAGTCCTTTATATCTCATGAAAGAAGCATTCACAGCTGGATGGATGGTATTTCTCTTGGAGACAAATTTAGATCTTAATTGACAGCCCAGGCTCTGTTCTCTTTATTTCCCACGTGCCCTTAGAAAGAAAGCCTGTACGTTCTGCAGTTGAAGCTCAGGAATGGGATGTTTGGAGTTCCTGAAGTCCTGCTTCACTGTGTAAAACCTAAAAGCATCCCACTGCCTCTTGACTGCACATGTGCAGTGGAACATTTGCTACAAGGTGACTCTAACATGAGTTTCAGCTGACATTCTTTCTGCTAGTTCCAGAAATACAAATTAGCCTGTGTTGGCAGAGGATTAGGGACTGCTCTTGAAGCAATCTTTCATTCTGCAGTTTCATTTTCCATTCATCTTGCCAAGAGAGTATCTTTTTCCAGAAGTTTCTCCTCTGCTCTTCCTGCTTTCCTCTTCTCTCATTTCAGTGTTTTGTTCCTCCCAGATCCAACTGTATCTTCACGGATTCCTCTTGTGAGTTCTTATCCCCATATATTCTTATGCTGCCTATTTCTTTCATCTCCACATTTCTATCTCGTATTTTAGAATTCTTAGTCTACAGTAAATATATTTATACATTAAGGGTAACCCATGAAGTGGGTTCATTCCCTATTTTGTTCAATAAAATTTCACTTACTATTTTTATTTCCTCGATCCCATGAGTTTGAGATATGGAATATCAGACCTACTATAATTCATTACCAAATATTGGTTGCTTCTATCCTATGCATAATGATGGTTTCCTGAAAGTCATATCGGTAAGAGTACATAATCATCTTCTACATTCCTCTACATTTTATTTTATTTTATTATTTTATTATTTGCTACAGGGCACATGTGCTCATTGGAAGGAGACCAAAGAGAGAGAGAGAGAGAGAGGGAGAGAGAGAGAGAGAGAGAGAGAGAGAGAGAGAGAGAGAAAGAGGGAAAGTGATAAATCAGTCCCATGGGGATGGCCATGCTGCAATCTCTTCTCCTCCCTTCTTCTACGGATTTTGGGTACACAGCCATGTATACCCCGCTTGTATTTCAAGCTGCACATCCAGACTTGAAACATGTAGTCAGCCTTGTGGGATCCAGTCACTGTAACCACTGCCAGCCAGCTGGCCCCATTGCTCTACCTTTTAAATTTAGTACCCCAAGAGTATACCATGCTTGAATGCTTACATACAGGAAGCCTAACTAAGCATAATTAAGCCATTACTCAATGTGTTCTGTGTCTAAAAGAAGCAGGATAGGGAAAAGCTTGGGGAGGTTAGACTCTTACCACCCACCCTCCCATCCCCATTTCCTTCTGATTCTGGCCTAGTAGTTCTTGATTTTGCTTGTTTACACTTTTCAAACTTTGGAAGTCTCTTTATTATCAAAGTCCTTGCTACTTACGCACAGGAAGGATGACTGCGCAGTACTGGGGTCTGTGGTTAACCTGCACTATTTGGATATCTCCAGGGAGGAAGGAAAGGACGGCGGTTTGGGCCCCTTGGAAACGCTGCCTAGTGACCTGGAACCCGAGTGTTGGTGGAGACTTTTTGTGGTGTGTAACTCACACTCCTCAAGTTTAAACTTTAGAAACACTATCTTTTTTTAATTTTATTTTTGTCTTCTGTGAGATTAAAACATCCAAGCCTCATCTCTAAGGCATCTTGAAATGTGGTCCTTTCTTTTTTTTTTTTTTGGAGAGGTTTTTGCTATAGGGCGCGTGCGCTCGCCAGACAGACAGAGAAAGACATAGAGACAGAGAGACAGAAAGCGAGAAATCACCCCCCAGGGGAGATGGTCACGCCACAATCCCTTCTCCATTCTCCTCTCGGGATCTTGGGCACGCACGCACACGTGCCCAGCGTGAGTTTTAAGCGACTGGGTCCGGGACACGAACCGCGGTCGACTACGTGGGAGTCCAGTGACATAGCCATTATGCTAACTGCTGGTTCCCAAGTGTGGTCCTTTCTTGATATGATGTTTTAAATGTAATGCTGTGTTTTAGCACAAATAACACATCAAAATGAAGTTATGGGAGAGTTCACCCCTCCCCAGATCTTGCTTTTATTTCTGCATTGTTAAAAGGCAGTAATTGTTAAAAGGAAGAAAATCTCTGAAATTACTAACATTTCACAACATTTATTTTCCTTTTCATGTTTTATTTGTAGTTACACCAGAACATAGTTCAACTATAAAATCAACAATATGGGGGATGAATTTTGGCATACCTAGCTAGAATTAGAGGTCCTAGATTTACAATATACTGTATCTTAAACACTAATAAATTATGTATTCGTTTTTAATTTCTATAATTCAGTTGGCTATAACAGCAGGAACTGATGGAATTGAAATTCTTAGAGGTCCTAGATTTACAATATACTGTATTTTAAACACTAATAAATTATGTATTTGTTTTTAATTTCTATAATTCAGTTGCCTATAACAGCAGGAACTGATGGAATTGAAATTTCCACCCTGTCTCTATTTTTGTCAGGGGTTATTATTCATTCTTGGGGGAGGGGAGAGAAACCTTAGCTGAGACTGTGACACTAAATATAATAGGGACATCCAGATTCTATGCCATGAGAATGACTTACAGAAAAGAGGTTTTTGCAGTCATGTTTCTGTCTAAATTCTGTCCTTGGAATATGAAGAAGGAGAAGAAGGATAAGAAAGAAGTGAAAGAAGAGGAGAGAAAAACTGTACTATACTTACTCTGCTATAACGAAATGTGAGACTAGTAATCTGGATTCTTAACTATCCCAGAACTGTTTTGCAAAAACATGATAATTAACAAATTCTTTAGGGACCAGCAGTTGGCATAATGGCTATGTTCCTGGACTCCCACTAGTAGACTGCAGTTGGAGTCCTGGACCCAGTGACTTAAACTCACGCTGGGTGCTGGGTGCATGCGCATGCATGCCCAAGAGCCCCTGAGAGGAGAATGGATAGAAGGGATTGTGGCTTGGCCATCCCTCCGGGGGGTGATTTCTCTCTTTCTGTCTCTTTGTCTCTCTCTGTCTTTCTGGGGAGTTTATGTGCCCTATAGCATAAACCTCCCCCCCACCCAAAAAAAAGCAGAAAGAAAGAAAAAGAGAAATCAAACCATATGTTAAGAACGAAGGTTAATAAAAAATTGTCCTTTATGCACCTGCTTGGGAATGGGCTCTGGTTAAAGAAAGAGCAGATGAAAATAACCATGTGGATTCAGAGTAGACAATTTCTTGCTCAACTCTATGACCTCATTTTCTGCTTTCTCTAACTTTCATCTTCCAAATGGGATCCAATAAAAAGTTCATTTAATGGAAGTTCAGGAACATAAGCATTATTATAATTTTTACTAAGCTTTCATTTTAAATGTGCTAACATTTTCAATGTGTAAAACTTGAGAATTATAGTTTTATTACTAAATTATACAATAACATTTTCTGTGTAATGTTTTTGCAATCAGCTAAACACATTCCTACATATTATATCACTTGAACCTCAAAACTATCACCAGGTGGGTAAAACATGTATGATAATCTATATTTTATAAATGGAAATTTAAGGCTTCAAGATATTTTAATTTTTCCATGTCTGTGTTAGCATTTTGACATTTTTTTTCAATATGACTTGCTCCAGTATTAATAGCTTTAGAAATTTTAAGTAAAATATAAATTCCATTTTTTCCAATGACTCCTCCTCCTCCCACCCCCTCCCAAATTCTCTTTGACCAATTTGTAATCAATTTTATTACATGAAACTAACCAGAAAACAGAAGAAAACCAACTGAAAGAAATAAATAGCAAAATGTTACCCTTTTAAACTGAATTTATTTAAGACATAACAAGGGAACTGGAAAAAAATTGGATTATTCTGACAGATCATGTTGTTTGCCAAACTACAGGCAGATCAGGATCTAAGAGACTTAGTTTTAAACTCCTGGAAAATAAGAGAATAACTCCAACTGGAAATGACTAAAAAAAAAAAAAAAAAAAAAAAAAAAAAAATTTTGAAAAAGGGGGCCCCAACAAACAGGAGAGG